CAATACTTGCCCAGCATTATGGACCAGTCAGAAGGTCACAGAACAAGGTAAAAAAAAAAATCCTCAAAAAGCGCGAGTCGAACAAAGAGATGTCTGGGGCGTTGCATAATAATTATACACGTATGAGACCGACCTCCTTTCTTCTCACAATGTCATCTTTAATGCGATTTTCTTGTGAGTAGTAGATACAGTTGGCAGGGCCACACGAAGCTTGGCTTTGTCCATGAAAAAAAATTGCGTCCGATCAATCATAATTGTGGTGCAGACTCTGACTCTGACAACGCGCAGAATATTCTACCTACATCTGGTTTATTCAAATTGAGTCGAAACCCCCGTAATTGGTAGGGAACAAATTTTTACTGAAAGTTCTTCGGTGACACTAAAAATCTGTTACAAGTGCCTTTGACCTTTGGTGTAGCGGTTAGGCAATTGGCAGGGTCGAAGCGGCCCGCCTCCTGAATGATCTAAATTGTGTTGATGCGGGAGTAAAACTTCTACACACACTCTCTTTCTCTCCATCTCTCTCCCTTTCTCTTTCTTTCTTTCTCTTTCTCTCTGTCACACACACACACACACACACACACACACACACACACACACACACACACACACACACACACACACACACACACACACACACACACACACACACACACACACAAGTACACTATCTATTTCTCTCTTTTTTCTTTCTATGATTCTCTCCCTCTCCCTCTTTCTCATACATAATGCCTTTCTCTCTCTATTCCATTCTCAATTGTATGTTTAAGTACAGTTCTACAGACTGAATTTAATATGTGTTCAATTATCCATACTACACTTTGGGAACCTATAACTCGAACACACAACAAGTCTCCAGTAAGATTCTTTGTTCACAAAATAAGTATGTTCTTTCTTCTCCATAATATTATCGATCTGATGGCTACAATTTTGTTTTGCCTCACTCTCCCAACTACGTGTATAGTTCGAGACGACCGCAGTAACGCGGCATCAATGGCTAAAGATCTTTGTAAAGAGAAAACAGTTTGAAAGTGCAAATTTGCTCTCAGGCCTCATGGAACATTTTACTCGCCGGTCCGGAGTTTATGGTCGTCTCAAGCACACAGGTTAGGTTTTTCACTTTGCCCTTAAAAAAAACTTTTAAAAAACTACCAAAGAAAAAACCACCCTAAAAAACAACAACCCAACAACAACGTAAAAACAGATGTGAGATCGATTTCCAAATGAAAAAGGCTACAGTATTATTTTCGAGTAGGGTCTATCTCGCTCTTTCTTTAGAGAAAATGTTCCGTTGAGTTAGTGTCGGTAGACGCCTGTAGGAAGCATCCAGCCTCCCGGTGACAAAAAGTGCCTATGGAGATTTATACAAGATCTAAAACAAGTAAAACGAGGAAAAAAAATAAACGTCTCATGTTATCAGGTTGCATCAGAGAAGGGTATTTAATTTCACCAAAAGAACAAATCAAAACAAAATAGTAGTATTTACTCGACAGGAAACGCCTCGTGGTGTCACATTTTCAGACCCCCGGATTTTCAATACAAGTTTCCCTTTGGCGTGTGTCGAGAGACACAATTTTTAGCCCCATAATTATCTTTTTAAGCAATCAAAAGATGACACGTAATTGCTCGCTCGTGCAGACAGCCCTTGACGAATGCCGCAATGTTGACTGCTTCTCTTTTTGAAAGCTAAACCGTGACATAGCGGGGTTCATGTTTTGTATCTGGGGTGTATTTCGCCCACTCGATGAAATTTGACATGCCCGCGTTTCGACGTATGCCATAAAAAGATTAGCTGGTTGGCTAAGTGCTTAACATGCTAGGTCTGATAATCATCGTGTTTAGAGAGACGGTCACGCGAAATCATTCTTTTTTTCTGCTCCAAGAGTAAGTTTTTGTACAGAGTAACAAAAGGCTCAAAACTTAGGAAAAAATAACCCAACCCGCCCACAACAAAAGCACTTTTGAGTTTGGGTTAGAGGTACTTGGCTAATAAAACATGTTTTACAGTTTCTTTTTGCTTGTGTGACGTAAAGGATTATTTCTCTTGGGTGATTTCTTTCTTTTTCTTTTTTTTTTCTTGGCTTCGTACACCGTCCAGTGCGAGATTTATCTGGTATATTTTGTAACTACTCAGCATAGTGTTTCGTCTTCGGGATACAAGCAGGATGTGACCTCTACTCTTTCTCATCTCTCTCTCTCTCTCTCTCTCTCTCTCTCTCTCTCTCTCTCTCTCTCTCTCTTTCTCTTCTCTTTTCTTATCTCTTTTCTCTCTCTTCTCTTCTCTTCTCTCTTCTCTCTCTCTCTCTCTCTCTCTCTCTCTCTCTCCCTCTCTCTCTCTCTCTCTCTCTCTCTCTCTCTCTCTCTCTCTCTCTTCTCTTCTCTTGTCATGTATGTATGCATGTATGTATGTATATATATATATATATATGGATGGATGGATGGATGGATGGATGGATGGATGGATGGATGGACAGACGGACGGACGTAAGGACGTATGGACGTATGGACGTATGGACGTATGGATGTATGGATGTATGGATGTATGGATGTGTGTATGTATGTATGTGTGCGTGTGTGCGTGTGTGTATGTATCTGTGTGTGTGTGTGGGTGTGGGTGTGTGCGTGCGTGCGTGCGTACGCATGAGTCAACATCGGTGTATGTGTTACGGCGTGTGTTTGCGAATATTGCACATATATGTCAATTCCAGTCGCACTGAAGTGCTGAAAGCAATCTATATCAGCATATCGATATCGCTACATGAGTTCATTCAGCACGAAGCTTTTTCTCTCAGCTCGATAAGTACCCATGTTCTCACATTGTATGAGAAAGAACATGGGTACAGTTTATTGCCTTGAACGAGAAGCCATAAAACAGTGCTGTATTGTAAATGTATACAAAGTATGATTTACATTAGCTTCGCCAGACTTCTGAATCCATTTCGAAAAAGCAAAAAAAATATATAAAAATCTGTTGTTTGACTGGTTTTGTTTTCCTAATCCGCAAATTGGCTCTTTGAAAAGGGCATCGTGCTTTGAAAAAGGCTTTATATCAATTACTGATTTTAATTAGTTGTTCGACGTTTGTTTAGAGGCATGAAATCATGCTTCTTTCCACAATGTTTTATTCTTACCGATACTTATTTCGCATTCGTTCTCAGTTTAACATTGTATCATTTTAAATAGTGATGCTGATCGAGAACTGAAATCTTTAAGCTGTTAGCAAGAAATGAGACTCTCTATGTGGCTAGACTCAATCTAGGAAGCTTATTACACAGTATGTATACACGTTCTGAGTGATAACATGAAAACAAACAATTTGTTAACAGAGATCGTTGATACTAGTCTGCTATAATAAGATAATCATTGACGTTGAAGCACACATTTCTATTTTTACTCTGGATCTTGACTTTTCTCATCCATCGTCACCTTGCTTTATGCATTGTCTTTTCATTTACAATGTTTACTTATTTTTTTCCAACTTTTTGTTTCACGAGAATTAACGTATCTTTGTCTCTTTTTCCTATCTCTGGTTACAGCTCTCTTATGTCTGTCTGTTGCCGCTGCCTGTATGTTTGTTAATTGGTCTGCGTATCTGCCTATTCCTATCAGCGTCTGGGTAGTGATAAAACTCCGAGTTCGTTGCAGAAAAAACACATAGGGTTCGATATTCCCATGGGGAAAAATCTATTTTATCGACTTCATCCTTTGTCTGCTACGGTACACTATGCACCCAGCTCAGGATTACCCGGGCAGGAAGAGTCGAAACAGCCAGCCTCTTAAACGATCTTAGTTTTGTTGATGGAAGCTATAACAGTAGCAATCAATCTATCAGTCAATAAATGTCTGTTACGGTCTGTTTCTGTTGCTTTTTCCTCCCCCCCCCCCCCCCTCTCTCTCTCTCTCTCTCTCTCTTTCTCTTTCTCTCTCTCTTTTTCTTTTTCTCTTTTCCTCTCTCTCCTTCTCTCTCTCTCTCTCTCTCTCTCTCTCTCTCTCTCTCTCTCTCTCTCTCTCTCTCTCTCTCTCTCTCTCTCTCTCTCTTTCTCCGTGTCTTTAACTCCCTCCCTCCATTTCCTTTCTCGCTCGCACATACTCTCTTTCTCTGACCTCACTTGTGGCATTTCATTTCCACGATTAAAGCCTCCGAAACTTGCTGCTTCATTAAAGAGGATTATTCACAAAAATCTGTTTCTGTGTTCCTTAATAATCTTCCAGAGAGATTTAAAAATCAATTTGTTGTATTCTCGCCAACAGGAAGAGCCCCTGGAACGCAGTGTGATCGGTTGTGAATCAGCGCCGGAAACAACAGATCCCGTCTTCTCTGAGAATGCTGCAAATCCCACCTCGGACTTTGATGACCAGAGCAACGGACAGACGGGGGGAGTCAAAGCTGACCACTACGGCTTCACCGCAATGCAGGGAGTCAGCCACGTCCCTGGAACGGATACAGCTGATAACTTTATCGATTCTGAGACAAACAGAAAGGTTGGAATTATATCTGGGTATAGTCTGGATGACAATATTGTTGACGAATGCCAAAATGGAGCTCACCCAGAAGAGGACGTCTTTGAGGACGACACCTTGAAGCAAGCCTTGCCTCAAGGAGATTCTGGAGTTCAAAATGAAATGGCTTTGACTCAGAACCAGCAGGGAAATTGCGTGCAAGCTCGTCAAGGTGGACCATGTAGATCGTCCCAGGTGTCAAAAGACGCCCCAGCCCATGTCTCCAGTGGCGTGGATTATCCAATCAGAGGCACCATGTCTCCATTGACCAACAAAGTGGCGGTGAAGAGGTCCATCGGCCCTGTAGATGAAGTGTCTTTCGTGTTCGGAAGACCTGCTTCTCCTATGATGAGTGGCGAGCAGGTGATGCGATGCAGCAGCCCTCAAATGAAAAACCTCGGTCTCGCTCGATGCATGTCGCCGTCGACAGGCCGATACGTCTCCGGATATTCGTCCCGGCCCATGTCTCCCAGTAGTGACGTCCTGCCCGTGAGACGTGCCTTGTCCTCCGGAGGGCAGCCAGACCGTCGAGTGATGTCCCCTCCGCCAGTTCTTGGAGTAGGCACTGCTGCCGAAGCGCGGATACACCAGCATGGGGGCATCTGCTGCGAGCATTGCAACAGTTGTCTTGTGGAGCTTAAACGACAGGCCTTGAGACTTATGTTTCCGGAGAACGGCTCGGGACTTGCGCAGGTAGGGGCATTCTTGTTCACATGTTAAATAGCTTATGTATGTTTCAGTAAAATGTGTTTGTTCGTATAATATAGGAGTGTATTTGTGTGTAGTGTATTCAGTTACGTGAAGTCGACTTGCTGTAACGACTAACTGTACAAAGCAACCGCCTAAACTAACCACAACTTTCCACTTGTCCTCTTGCGTTTTCCCCCGTCATTATAATGAGACTGCACAAGGCATCCACCTGTCTAAGACAACTAGTTTTCTCATCAGAAATGGATCCCTGTCTTGGAAAATTCGACTGTATTAAAATTTGTCTGTCTGCATTACTGTGTACATGTCTCTTGATGGCTTTTCTATTTGTGTCAACGTGTGGTGTTAAGATAACCTTGGTAGATCCTGGTTGATTTCCTTCTTTATTTTTGTATCTGTCAAACTGTCCTGTTTTCTGCTTTTTAAATTGCACTAAATAACCGTTATTTGATCATTGTGTTTTTGTTTAGTCAAACAAAGTAAAAAGCTATTTATATCAAATTAGTGTATAAACGTACATGCAAACACACACACACACACACACACACACACACACACACACACACACACACACACACTCAGATACACACTAATCTGCACAAACACATACACATGCACGCACACACATAGATACACAAACGCACAAACAGACACACAAGTTCCTCTTGGACAGTGTCATTATAATATCGAAAAACACACACACACACAAAGAGAGAAGTGTGAAGTGATTGTTTGAATAGGTAATTGTCTCGGACAGGTGGTCTTTAGAGCAGGTTCAACTGTATATTATATATATATATATATATATATATATATATATATATATATATAGTATATAAATGTATATATATATATTATATTATACATATGTACATTAAAGAATTATTAATCATATAATTCTTTAATGTACATATGTATAATATAATATATATATATACATTTATATATATATATAGTATATAAATGTATATATATATATATATATATTATATTATACATATGTACATTAAAGAATTATATGATTATATACAGTCAGACCTGTTCTATACATGTACCTTTCCAAGACAAATACCTGCTCAAGCGGCCACTTACCTTTCCCCCCTTGCGTTTCTTTTATTATTACATGTACATGTATAATGATACTGACCAAGACGCCCAGACACTATTATTCTCCTAAACAGTTGGTGGTTGTCTTGGACAATTTCGACTGTATTTCACTCATATATTTATGAGTCGAAACATTTGTCTTCCTCCCCCCCCCCCTCCACTTTTACGATGTATGTTCCGGCCTAAGGGAAATTAGCTGTGCCGTTTTATCAATACTCACGGAAGAATCGCGTAATGACTCACATAGAAGCTCCGTGCTAACTGAACATGACGAGAGACGGCCAATCGAGTGGAGAGAGACCAACTGTCTGAGACGAGCGTATACCTCGCCACCGTGTTTGTTTTATTTATTAGCTTTGACGCCTAATCACTTGAAACTGTCAATAAATCGTATGTGCAGTCACATGTGAGACAGATGTCGACGCTGGAAAAATAAAGAGGTTATAAGAATTTTCCGTTGTCTGATCTCTTAATCGCCAGAATGCCCCGTCTCTCTTGATCTTTCGCTGCGGTGAGAAGGGACAACTTCTTATGTGTAACGTGTTTTTGGCGTTTGTTTTCTTTATCACTGCTCGGGGAATTTGATTTTTTTATCTTTAATTCTTTTTTTGTAAATGCGTTCTCTTTGTCGTTTTTGGAGCAAACAGCTCTTAAATCTTTCTTGCCTTCATTCATTATTTTCCTGTAGAGGCTGAAAAAGTAAGACAACCAGAACAGAGGTAAAGACTGTCTATAGTTAAAACAGAGCCGTATAAACCAGATATATAGAAATAATAATAAAGAAGAGTTCCAGTTTCATTGGCTTTTTAGATTCTATCATAGTTTTTTGTGCATTATTTTCTGTGAATGCTGGAAATAAAACAAACAAAAGAAAACAGGCATCAGACTGTCTGGAGTTACAACGGAAAGGTATGCTCAAAAACCGCAGAAGAATGAAAAGAAGATAATTTTTTTATGTAAAGGCAAAAAAGAAAGAGTGCAAAAAGAGCAAAGCTTACGTTTCATTGCCTTTATATTTATATGTTTTCATAGTTTTGCATTAGCCGGCGCTGTAGAACAAATCTGCTGGGACCAGTGTGCCCTGAACAAAAATCCCCACCAACTTTTGTAGCGGAACACACAGTGAAGCCGAAAGAAGCTCCATATTAGTGTCAGGACTTGCACATAAAAATATCACCAGGACCAGGGCATGTGTCGGTTTCTCGCTAACGGACCGTAAAGAGAGAACCCCAATGGAGTGAAGAGACCAATTGTCCGAGACAAGCCTATCACTCATTCAGCCCTAAGCCCTGAGACAGGTGTTTCACGGCTATTCTTCTTTCTCACCTGCTGCACTCTACCTGAGAAGAGGACGCTCTCTTCGTTTCCCGCCCCGCTGAGAATGGTTTTCCCTTTGCCATAGATATAGCCGAAGAATCTCTCTTCGAGATCGCTCCCAGGGTGAGGAAAGAAATGGGGGACTGCGGGGTGGCTTGATTTACTTGAAAGTGACTACGATACGTTAGGGAGGAATATTTCATTTCCCCCGTCAGTCCACTCGATGTATCTAGATAACCGTTTCTTTCCACATTTGAGGCATCACAAATCCTTTCACATCTCATCTCTTTGTTCTTTATTCACGTCTATACCATGGACTGATTTAAATTCTTCAACATGGTAAGGAATCTAAATGTCGCAATTTTTTCTTCTTTGGGCGCATGTTATCTGATAAGAGCAAGCGGACAACACCTTTCGGTTTTTGCTAATAAAAAACGTGAAAAGAGTTGTAGTTAAGGGAGGTTCAGGTCAATGATTAATTCATTTCGTCATGAATCCGAAAAGGACAATCGTATCACTGATAGAGAAATAGAGGGAGCACAAAAGCAAATTGGACTACGCCGAAAATAGCTTTCTTTGTGGCGATAAGAAGCGTCCATTAATCTGGAATCTCTTGTATTTGTGCACGTTCATACTTCCCGTCAGCTCAAGGGAAAGGCATTCTTGAATGTTGTAATGCAGTTCTAAAACAATCCACCAAATATATTTATCTCTGTGACCGGCAGGGATGGTTTTCTCCCTTGATGATGTTTAAAGATACCAACTAGTCACTTGAAAAAGAGCTTTCAAGAAAAGCTGAAGAGACTAATTAAATGAGAGCCAACTTTTTATGCATCTCCAAATAAAGACGCATGCATTGCTGATTTGTAAACCTCCGCCCTTAAAACAGAAACGTCTTGGGTTTTTAGGCATAGGAAAACAGCCCTATGACCTTGCTAATTACGCAAGTATGTTCACGTCGTTCATATTGGAGCTCCTTTCCGATCTTTTATTTGGTTTAGGAGATTCCTGATATAGATCCTTCTGCAAACCCAGTGTCACCAACAGTGGTATGCTTACGCACACCTACGCTTTGGAAGAGGGCAGAGGTCCAGCTTACCCCTAGATTTTGAAAATAGAATAAGATCTCAATCAAAGTTACAAGCATGCTGGCGCATTTAACGTACGGCAATTCTTTCAAATATCATTTCATTATGTACAATGCACACTAAAACACCAAGATAGATTTCTTAAAGGTCACTGCTCATCCGGTCTTGCTACTTTCCTTCTTCTGTTTGTGGGTTTCTTCCCTCCTTGAATCTTCGCCCTGTGTCAATCCTTATCCTGGTCCTCAGAAATGGAAAGTTTAAAATAGATACAGCAGTGGGCAGCCCATTGATTTTTGTATAATCATTGCTTATTGTTGTAGTCTTCTTGACGTAGCCAGCTTCTGTTGTTTCCGAGAAACTCATGTGTACACCCAGCTAACACGAGCTGTGAACCAACCTTTCCTTCCTTTTATCTCAGTTTTCTTTTTCTAACCAAAGCAATTTGTCGTACCGAGCCATCCCGCGAAGATAGGGGATTTGTTTTTGCGAACAAAAGACACTGTCCTCGAAAGAAGAGCCGTCCTTAGATCAAGTGTCTGTGTAAATATAAACTTGAAGGGCAGTTTCAAAATGCGCGCTGTGGGAATTCTCAATACGTGAGGTTATCCCAGTGCTGTGGCTCATACTGCTGTTCACAGCTGCCAAAAGGAATACAAGGTGTATTCTACCTTGTGCCAAACCTAACCAGCCCTTTACTCTCAGCCTTGCTAAGTGTTAGTTCTTCATAACAGGATGAACAGTTCTTTCTTCGGTGACCAGATTTACATGTACGTTGGGAAGGGATAAAACTAAACGGTTGAAATTTACCCATTAAATAGATAGAATTCTTAGTTGGTGAATGGATTCTACTTATCGAAGATGTTAAGATTGCGCATAGTATAGAAGCGAAAGTGATTTCAGAATTCGTATCTGCTCCATTGCGCCTTGGTCGTGTACATGAACCCTGTGACGTGTGCTTGATTCTGGTTCGATTCCTCATCAAAGTACATAATTCTGTATCTTTTAACGTGTGTCTTTTGGAGAGATTAAGGAAGTTTTCAAGGTTCTTCTGCTATTCTCTGTCCTGTCAGAGATGGACGTTACAGAGATTCTGATGCTCGTTTATAATATAGCGGATTTTTTTTTTAATGTGTTGAAAACGGTTTCCAAAATAATGCAATACGACAACTAAAGGCCTACCTACAAAATGCCTGTGACCCAGGACATTCACCCACCAACCCACCCATTCACCTGCCCACAGAAACACACACACACATACGCACACACACACACACATACAC